AGGATGGGCTGTTATGCAATGTTGTTGTCTTTTGCTCTACTTTGTTTTCAGTGTTGCTTCAAATTCTACTGCTTTGGCTCAGGCTCTATTTTTCTGCTTCAGTCTGTTAGTTTCTTTCAGTCTGTTGCTTTCGTCTATTTCAGGCCTTATTTTTGTTGGTATGCTCTACTCAACTGTGGTCTGCTATGTGTTAAATTCTTTTCTGCAATGCTACTGGTCTGTTCTGTGAAGGCAGGCTAGTGTGTGTATGCTGCTGCAGTTGAGAGTTAGTTTAGTTGGTGGAGATGCTAGGATTAATCAAATGCATGGCAAATCAGCTGAAGTGCTTTGGGAACTCATATTCATACAATTTCTAGACAAATGCATGGCAAGGTCTTATTTGCCTTAGAAATAGTGGCTATGTTAGCAAAGGATGCTAAGAATATTAATCATTAGTTAAGGTCATTGCAACCTCTGTAGCAACATATACTTCATCAGTAGTAGTCTCAGTAGTGGAGTTAGTTGATTCAGCATTCATAACATCATCAATTGCTTCAGTATATGCCAATGCTCTGCTGTTTTGCTATGCTCTGCCTCTGGTTGCTGTTTTGGGGATTTTGTGCTGGTTGGTCTGTTTTGATGAATGGCTATTTGTGCTATTTGTCTGTCTTTGATGAATGTTTGTTTTGGTCTGTGCTGTTGTTGTCGTGTTGGGTGGTCTCTCTTCTCGTTGGTCTCTTACCAACTCTGGGGGTGCTAGCAAATGATAGGATGAGCTAGATGGTGCTAACCTCGTTGGGATGATTTAGCTCGTTGGGATGCTTTTGCACCTCCCTTTCTTTATTGATGTAATTCGCTTTGTACTTTTATATTTGTTTATTCCATCAATAAAGTTATTTTTTGCCGATCAAAAAAAAAATTCAGAAGTTGAAGTCTACTCTTTAATTATAAAAGGGTGTGGTTACGTCTTGTAAAAATAGAGTCAAGAAACAGAGTCTTATAAGTAAGTAAGAGTGTTTCCCTCTATTTTTCTTGTAATCTCTATAGTTTTCAAGTATTCAATAAAAAGTTTTCATTTTTATAATCGCTTTGTTTACTATCTTTAATTTTTCTGGAGGTTTGAGAGTAGTAATACAAGTAGGCCCCGTCTGTTTTATTGGATATAAAATGGAGGATATAATATGATGTGGGATTTAGTCATGATATATAATGAATAGGATATATGTATTGGGTAATATATCCCCAAGTCATGTTTGTTGACTTGATATATGTTATGCATGTTTGTTTTACAAAATATATTGTGGGATATAACAAGTAATTTCCAAGATTGCTCTCATAATATTATATTATATTAAATTAAATAATATTATATTATATTCAATAATATTTATATTATATTAAATTCAATAATATTAAATTAAATTCAATAATTATATTATATTAAATTCTAAAAATATATATTAAATTATATTATGTTAGATAGACAAAAGGGTAAATTGGACCTTTTACATCATATCCCAACCAAGGGAATATGATATAATGGGGGGGCAGTATTGTATATTCTCCACTTTTAGATATACAATCCCACCGGATATTATATTCCCTTCAAAAAAAAAATACACACATGGGATACATGGACCCCACCGGATATAATATTTAATCCCAATCTTCATATCCCCAATCAAACAGGGCCGTAAGGTAATATTCACCAAGTATGAGAAAGTACACTTGCAGTCTACGCTTGAAAAACATTCGCAGCAGACAGAATAAGATAGACATGAAAAACACAAAAAAGAATCTCGATGGAAGTATGCTTTAAATTTAAAATCTTAGTTTGCAAATAGTATAAAATTATTTGGTAAGTTGTAACATGAGTGCATCACACACAATAAAATACCAAAACTCAACTGTGGCTAGGATTGTTCTTCGTGAAACGTAACATTGTTCATGTGACCAACCAAACAAAAAAACATATCCATGTAAAGCTAGACTTCACTAAAGTGAAATTCAAGACAAGTGGAAAAGCACAATCAATAAATAAATCAGTTGAAGTGTGCTGTGATATCCTGCACCCGATACAAGCCATTGTCAAGAAATTTCGAAAATGAGTTTCTTTCATTTTTTCCGTTTTTTCAGCCACATTCTGTAATTCAATTCTTCAATTCAAATTGTTATTGGACAACAGCAATGATTCAGACCACTAATTTTGATACTCTAATAAAGCACTAATGACATGGTAATGAACAAAAAATATAAAATAAAAACAAACTAAGACCAAAACATCACATCACTGTGGTAGAACCCATTGACAACTCATTAGAGCTACCTTTATGCTGTGTTTGGTTGAAGGATTTGGAGAGGGAATTGGAAAGGAAACGGAAAAGGTAGGTGAAATGTGAATAAAATATGCCTATATTTCACTTAGTTTCACATACCTTTTCCCTTTTTCTTTTCAAATCTCTCTCCAAATCTCCCAACCAAACACACATTAGAACTTAAAAATTAGAATTCCAAAGTATTTTTCATTAGACAATTACGATTCACATGGACATGGACCTGTGGTGCGTACAATAGTTTTCCCATTGAAGTTGGTGGTTTATTCTTATCAAAAGTAGTGGAGAATGTGAAAAAGGGAAGACACATGAAAAAGTCCAGGACGTCACACCCACCTAACAAGGAAAAAAAAAAAAACATGGGCACTCAGTACCAATAACAAGGGTGTCATGGCTAAATAGTCCTCCGCCACTCAGTTTGATATTTTTTATGCTTGTGATAAATGTTTGTATCAAAGGGTCAAGTTGAGCTGAGATTACGAATAGGAATTCTAGTTTCGCGTGCCCGAACCGAGCCATCCACTTATAAAGTATTAATTTATTTTTTCACTATTTATGTATACAATAAACTAGAATAATAAAAGAATATATATATATATATATATGTATGCACTTAATTGTAAGTTTAAAATTCAAAAATTTGTTGAGAGGTCCAATTCAAACATTTATTCAAATACTCACATTCAAATAATTATTAAAAGTTCTCAATTCATCTAGTACTGAAGAACAAAAGAATAAAAATAAAATACTAGTCTATATGTATTGGGTTAAGTCGGTTGATTTGAGATTTACAAATTATTTAAATTCAAATTTGTAATAGTTAAATTACGTCCAATATCGTGTCAGATTGAGAAGTTGAAATAATATATATATTCTTACTATATATATTGCAATTACTACATATATACTGCAACCCAATCCAAACTTGTTCGACCTGACCAATGTATACTTATCACTACTCATTACCCATCTTAGATCTATTCTGTGGAAACTAGTATCATTGTTAGGTATGTAAGTGTTCAAGGATAAGAATATATCATTGTTAGGGCAATTGGTTACTAAAGATTTGACCTATGAATCACCAACACTTTAAAATTTAATATTTATGTCGGACATATGGATATTGCGGAGATACATGGCCAAAATTTAATATTTTTGTCGGACATATGGATATTGCGGAGATACATGGCCACGACAGGGACATGTTACATGGCGTATTCTCTTATTGAATTAATTTATTTTACGGTGGTGCTACATAGACACCAATTAGTGTACATACTAGTGTACCAACTAGTATTATAATATCATTAATGACCCTATTTATTATACAAATTACAAATATCCAAAATCTCTAAAATTATGCTACATCCCTAGTTGGTACATTAGTGTATACACTAATTAGTATATATAGCATTATTCCTTATTTTAAGAGGACACACCAGATACAATTTGAAAACATACTAGGGTTATGTCAAATTGTCTTTTTTCCTCATTTTCTTTAGTGTTTTTTATGAATGTTGAATGTTTATTATTTTTTTTTTCTTATATTTAAATATTTAAAAGATCATAAAAGAAAATAATAATAATAATAATAATAATAATAATAATAATAATAATAAAGAAGAAGAAGAAGAAGAAGAAGAAGATATAAGCAGTAAATGTTAATTTAAAAGTGTTTTTCTTAAATATATAGAATTAGAGATACTTTTTGTTAATATTAATCGTTTGTGAGTGTAATATTAATATAGATAACAAATAAAATATCAGAAAACAAATTTTATTGTCATGTCCCAACTGTGTTTGTATCTTCATTTTTTTAAAATCACCCGTGTCCTATATACGCATCCGTATCTATGTCCATGGTTCTTCGGATTTGATTCATGTAATTAAGACTAGAATATTATGGGTGACGAGCAATATGGGTGGGCTGCGGGGTTCAGTGCATGATTTGGTTTCTAACCTTCGTCAGCTTAGGCATTGCTTGCGTGGTCATCGGCAGCAGTGAGATAAATGAGTACCTTGGAGTAGTAGTAGCTCTGTTATTTTGCACTAGCAGCTGCTGTGTTGCTGGTTTGGTTTAGTTTGTTGTTGTGTTGGCTTCTACTTTCTGTATTGCTGTTTGCTTTAGCTTGGCTGTTGGCATGTTTTATATAGGTGGTTTTGGTTGGTGCCTTGCCAACCTAGGCATTATACTGGCAAATGATTGGGCGTGTATCGGTACCAACCTAATTGAGATTATTACATTAGACTGTGATGGTTGAGTACTAGTGTTTTTTTTATTGATATAACACTTTGTACTTTCATTTGTTCTCATCAATAAAGATTTTTTACCGATCAAAAAATATATATATATATTCAAAGAAATGCTATGTTATGCAATTTTTTTAAAGGTACATATTGTATACGTTTTGTTCCGTATTTTTGAATAAATGTTGTAATTTGTTTATTACAAATGTTATATAATCTTTTGATAGTATTAAGATAATTTGTGATTTTTAAAGTAAAATTACAATAATTTGTGATATGATTATTTATTTCTATGGCAATCTAAGCTTTTTTCATTAAAATGTTACTCAATAATTTGAAATATATTCAATCCTTCTTTTATAACAATAAATAAATAAATAAAGTCCCCTATTTGTTTTAAGAACTTAAATAAACTATGACCCACTATAACACTTTCTCAGGTGAATTGGCAAACCAAATAAAACTTTCAACTCACTAATAACTGATATGGGTATTTGATATATAATACAAATAATATTCTTGGAATTACTTCTATGCATATACATCACTAAGCTACTGAGAGCACATTTGTCCATCCAGGATTTACATATGCAAAAATATATGAGGAAATAGTGAAAGATTAATCATAAAGGTAACGCCTGTCTATGCCTATGTTACGAGCCTAATTTGGACTCTCCTCATAATATCATATGGACACACTATTGGGGACACCTCTACATGTTACCCCAGGCTCAGAACTCGGTGCAAGAAGCTCATACGGTAACACCCCGGCTCCACACCTATTCCTCAGTTTCGGATCACTGTTCCTTTTCTCAATCTCTCTCTCTACTCGTCTGATCTCAGCTGAGAACCCGTAAAATGCTTCTATGATATCTGCATCACCGGACCAAATCGATGGCTGGTGTCGCTCTCCAAGGTACTCCTCGTCTGGAGAGTGAGTCGAGAGCGTGTCAACCACGGCCATAAACTTGGTCGCTTGCAACAAACTTGGCAATGATGAGAAATAATATTTTTGTGGGTCAGCGACCAATATGGCATATTCAGGGTCTCCCTCCTCGGGAATTAATCGACGCATCAGGGTTGGGCGGTTGGGGACGTAGCCGCCGTAGGGGTACTGTCCAAAGTTGAGGGCTGCGTGTTGAGCGGAGGCGAGCCAGATGATGGTAGTGAGGATAGAGGAGAGATCATCAGGGGTTGCGAGTGTGGGCCACCAGGATTCATGGCGGAGATCAGCATGACCCACATTTATGGACTCAGCGTACCAGGCTTGGAGCTCTTTGTCATTGCAGACTAGGCTTGAATCTGGGTAGTAACGGTTCACATAAGTTTGAACCCATTTCTGTATGGCGGACCAGATCAGGAGCCCATCAGATGCATAAGGGTAGTCCTCAATTAGTAGCTTCACTCCATGTGGTTGTGTGGGGTCCGCTACAGCCATACCCCTGATTCAAAATCAAAGAGAACCATTTGTTACAATTTTTCTTGTTCTTCATTTTCCTCTTGAGGATTAATTATTTGTTTATTGATAATAGAATGGATAACAGTGGGAGTGGGGTATTACCTTCGAATGAGATCAGCTGGAAGGCCTTCGAGATCAAAGCGCCAGAAATTCTTGTAGGCGACTGCACTAATCTCCATGCAGTATCGACCAGGAGTGAAGCAAGACTCAATCACACCATCGGCATTGACTAGGTTTTGGCGAGCCAACGCATTGATCTCTAGTGTGTATCTCATGTGCGGGTCAAGAAGCTTAAATATGGGGTGCATTGCACTCAATTGCCTGTGTGCTGCCAGTATAAACGGTTCCACGCTGGCATGGGTACGCAACCTGTAAGGTAATAAGTAGATAAAGGCAATTTAGTATATTTCCAAAGACAAGCAAATATATTCATCAATTAAGGAACAATTATTCATTTTCACACCATATTCCTCAGTTCTGGAACAATTCATTTGTGTTTGTCATCCGGGACTCATACAATTTAATGACCCAGACGACCTACACAAATGAATAGCCCACATGTGCCAGTGAATAATTTTTTACAATTAGAGCATTGTCTAGAACAACAGTGGGCTTTATAATAACATTTACCAGTGGTTAACGAGTTGGTGAACGCCGGCATCATTGGAGCCGACATGGGCTTTGGCGAGCTGCCAAATCCAGTTGGTGGTGGCATCAACTGCGGGTGTGACCACACGCTTTGAACGAGTACTGGGTCCAGCAGGTGGAAGACTAAGCTCGATAGCTATGGGCCTAAGAGTGCCTACTGGGGTCAAAAAAAATAAGGTACGTGTGGCATAAGTTTTGCGGCCATCAAGTGCATTGATGCGATCAAGAAATGGAAGATAGACGTCATGGTAGTCCACCATGTATAGTTTATTTTCATCCAATGCCTGCCATAGTCGAATTGAATGCATGAATAAACCATTAATAAAAAAAGCCTTAGTAGAAACACTAAATGTATCTTAAGCGAAACAAATAATATAAAGGATTTGTGTTGTGTTGTGTTAATAAATGAAACAATAGAACTCAATTTACCTGTTGTACAGTCATTCCATTGAGATAGCCAAGAATGTGTTCTTCTTTGAGAGCAGATTCCTGAGGACCGTAGATTTGGGGGTCAAGCTTGCTCACAGGTGGGAATGCCTTAAGCCTCTCTATGTTAACGGGGTTAATCCCTGCTATTGCTTGCCGAGCAAATTCATCATCTCTCAGCCATGCATACTTGTCCTCTGCATACATGTAAGGATCATATTGTTAGCAAGGGTACCAAACCAAACTAATTAATCGTCTCAGTCAATAAAATAATTGAGCCAGTGGTTATAGCTTACTAGAAACTATCTTGGGAGTGTTGTATTTGAGAAGATCGCCTTTGCTGGATTCTTGGATCTTGCCAACCACTTTGGGCAAAGGGAGTTTCTTCAGGAGTTCATCTTGGAGGCCCAATTTGAGGAGTAGGCCTTCACTGTAAAGGCTGTCAATGTCAGAGAAGCCCTTGAAATCATGGTTGTTGGCTGATATGTTGGCCATTAGGGATGGTATTAAGTTATGAAGCACTGCTTTTAGCCTTCCTGCAGAGAATGCGTTTTGCTTTGACTCTTCAAATTGTTCATCCCTAGGTACGTACATTGGATTTGGCTTCTCCACACGGCTCTCTGCAAGCATATCTGTTACACAACACAACACAACACAGTTACACAAAACAGTTGCATGAAATAAAAGACTATAATGCAAAGCAGAGAAAATTAATTGAATTGAAATTTACCAGTATCAGTGGGAAGACGTCCGGTACGGCAGCGCCTTGGGTATGCGATATTTGGACCTCCAAGAATGGGGCGAGCAAACTCAATTCCCTTATCTGGATTTCCCAAATCATTGTATATATCGAAATCATAGATCCTATCAGATAAGTTTCTGACATCTTTGCCATCACCCCTCAAATCCCTCAGTTCCTTCTCCCTTAGTGCTCTCAACCCTGCCGGTGTCTCGCTAGGCAGATATGGCTGTACAAATAAATACATTCAACCAATTAATATTATTATTATTATTATTATTTTTCATATAGTTGGATGGGTGATTATTCAGTATCCATATAGTTAGATACTTGGACAAACTCATATGATTATGTATTACAATTTTGATTCGGCTTTTTAATAGCTCAAAGCAACAGAATATAACTCATAATGGAGAGAAATACTATGTATCCTAAATATTTTACCAAAGATTTTACTAAACCTCTCACATGGAGTGAGACTCACACAAATGCACATGTTGTAGATTCCATACTCATATGAGAGATTTAATAGAATATTTAGTAAAATATTTGGGATTTCTAAGATAATTCTATAATGGATCTAAGGGACAAAATGGGTCCCTAGTAAATGAGGGCATTTAATTATGGCCCAGTGCACAGACCAGGCCCATCAAGTGCAGTTGAGTTGATTTGCACTATAGTTTTGATTCACGAGTGCCGTCGTTATATGCCTGGTGTGTGGTGGCACAAAAGATAAGAAAAATCAACAGATATTCTAATACACATTCTTTTAAAAATGGTATATTTTATACATTTTCAATTATATATTTTTTAATTATGATTAATTTTTTTTCTTTAATTATAATATTATTTTAATTATGACTAATAAATTTTTTAGTTATAACTCATATTGTATTTAGTTATAACATTTTATTTTTAGTTATGATTTAAAAAATTAAAATTATATCATTCTTTTTTAATTAAAAGGTGCATATATGATGCATACCCTCTCTAAAAGTATGCACCATATTGTTTCACAAAAATCAAACCTTGGTTGGCTGCTTTTCATACATCAAAAATATGGCCACAACATTTAAGTAGAATATACGACTCTGTGTTAAAAAGGATTCTCATTATTTTTTAGTGACCACCGAAAAAAAAAAATACTTCCATAAACAAATCAAACACCTGCTTGTAAAGAATAATCCTATATGTATTAATTAGGTCTCGTTTGGTAAGTGATTTTTTTAGTTAAAATATCAAAATGTCACTAAAAAAATTAAAAAGTCAACAATTCATACTAAAAAATCAAAGATTCTCTTTTCTCTCTACTTTTTGCACATCTTTTCGTAAAAAGTCAAAAAGTTATCACAAAGATAGTAGTTTTTTTTAGCTCATATTTTAGCCAAATAGTCAAAAAAATTACTAAATTAGCATGTTTCCAAACGAGGCCTTAGTATACACATTAGTATACCAACTAATGATGTGACATAATTTTAAAGGTTTTAAATATTTGTAATTTGTATAATAAATAGAGTAATTAATGATATCATAACACTACGTTGGTAAAATAATATGTACACTAATTGGGGCATGTAGCAATTAGTGATATAAATATAAACAATATAAATAGGGTCATTAATGATATAAATATAAATAATATAAATATGGTCATTAATGGTACACCAGTGTGTAAACTATTATAAATAGGGTCATTAATGATATAAATAAAAATAATATAAGAAAATGATCATGAAAGATTTGTGACCCTTAGATTACCTTGATTAGTGTGTGGTGCTTTATTCTAAGTGTAATCTAAAGGTCACAAATCTTTCACGATCATTTTCATGAAAGATTTTTCATGATACCTAGCATTGCTGATAATATAAATATGGTCATTAATGGTACACCAGTGTGTAAACTATTATAAATAGGGTCATTAATGATATAAATAAGATCATTAATTGGTATACTAGTGTGTACACTAATTAATACATGTAACAATTAGTGATATAAATATAAATAATATAAATAGGGTCATTAATGGTACACTAGTGTGTACACTATTATAAATAGAATCATTAATGATATAAATATAGATAATATATATTTATATGAAAATAATTTTATATAATATTTATGAACCCTTTGGATGAGAAACTTGCTACCCACCTACCTAACCAATTGAAAATTCAAAACGGGTTGCCCTGAATTATTCAACAATTGAAGTTGACCGTTGCTAAAATTCAAAGCTGGAAAAAGGAAAAGAAAAGAAAGAGTATGACAGACATTAAAAAAATGTCAAGCAAATTGTATGAAGATAAGATAAGACGAAATTGTCTAAGTGGCATAGGGGAAGAAGGGTTGGAGAAAGTTGAGAAAATGTTTGGTATAGGAATTTGTATAATAACAATATTTAATTTTTGATTTCTAAAATCAATTCTAATGAGATGTGACGTTTTGGTCTTCATTTTTTTTTCTTTTTTTATTGTCATGTCATTAATGCTCTATTAAAATACCAAAATTAGTGTTCTTAATATTAATGTAATAATAATAATAATAATATACCTGATTGGAGAAGAATATTCTTTTTCCAGGATGATCTTTGATAGATTGGACCCATGAATTGCAGGGGAAATGGAGTGGACCACATGCAAATCCTTCAATTGTAATGCTTTCCATGAAGAACTCCTTCTGGTGTTTGTTGATCACTGTGATTGCCCCTGGTTTCCCAAAATTCGACTCCACTGTGAACTCTGCTATGTAGTTTACCCTCTCTGTTTTCAAGTTCGATTTCTTTGACCAGTCCTTCAGCACGGCTTCATTGCTCTTCTTTGGGGCTTTCGTTTCTTCATCATCATCAATCACAAAAAAAAACCAATTCAGTAAAATTCATATTGTTATTGTAGTAAAGACACATAATCAAATCAACCCAGAAAAGAGGAAAGAAAATAAAATATCAGATCAATCATTATTGGTTGGATTGAAAGGTGTGTAATAATTTCATAAACAAAAAAAAAATAAAATAAAAAATCTTGATACTACAAATATATATATAATTCATGATCAGAACACCCATAATGATTTTGGCTCTCGTAATTTCATTTTCTGAACTTTTTTTATTTTTATTTTTTTCCGAGAAAATGGTTAGTTTGGGGGAAAATAAAAATTGACAAGATTTTCAAGAGAGAGAGAGAGAGAGAGAGAGAATGGGGGCATACTTGGATCCATATCGGTGCTAACAAGCTGCAACACAACATTCCTTCCGATCATGTCGGTGAGAGCATCCAAATGTTTTACAAGTGTCTCCTTCAAGTCTTCCTTGTGCTTGTTCCTCACAGTCACCACTGCTCTAACCTTGAATTTCACTGCCTTTTCAGGCACTGCTCTGACCACATCCTCACTAATGGCCGCCACAGTGACAAGAGGACCTCTGACTACCTTTTTTACTTGTTGTACCCTTCTTTTCTCCAAAGGAATCAACACTAATTGCTTCTGCCTATGATTCAAAACAACTTTTGACGAAGCTACAAATGAACACCTCTCCATCACACTAGAACCCATAATTTCTTTTGCCAGTGCCATCTCAATAATTCTCTACAACTCTTTCTCTCTAGATCTCTCTCCCTCTCACAGTATGTGAATTCAAGATTAAAGTGGTTAGGTGTGACTTTTTTTTTGTTGGTGAGAGTGAGAGAAGAGAAATTGAAGCAGATGAAGATCAGGGATTGTGTTTGATGGATTTGATGAGCTGGGTATATAATATATATACAGGAAGAGAGAGGGAAAGAGAGAAAATTTAGAAAATTTTGATAGTTTGTCACCGTCCACACGTTTTTAATTTGTGTGTCTGTGTGGTTTTGGGTTATGGAACGTTTAGAGCTATCACTAATGATAATAATGGAAAAAAATGTTAAAAATTATGAAAAAAAATTTATGAAAATGATCATGAAAATTTTATGATTTTTGAATTATTTTGATTAGTGTGCAGTGTTTTATTCTAAGTGTAATTTAAAGATCACAAAATTTTTATAATTATTTTCATAAAAAATTTTTCATGATACCTAATATTGCTGGACAGCGGGTCCTATCTATTGTTACAGTTTATATTGTGTTTTTTTTTTTTTTTTTGAAAATGAAAAGAATTGAGTCTTGTTAATGAATTTAGAAGTTGTTTGGGATGATCTAAATAAGTGTACTTTTTGTCTTTTTATAAAAAGATGTACAGAAAAATAGAGAAGTGATGTGATAAAAAAAAATAAATAAATAAAAAGATGAATTATTTTGTAATTACCAAACTTGGCCTAAATTAGTGATTTTCAGCAAGTGATTTCCAGCACCACCGTTTGTATTATATGTACATATGTTTTAGTCTCGGGTGTGGTATGCATGCTTGATTAGAGAGGCTGCTGCCGAGTCAAAAAACTTGAACGAGTTCCAAATTTCCGAGTAAAGAAAACGCGATATCGGAAGGGAGGAACCCAAGCGGAAAAGTAGAAATTATTTTCTTTAGTGGATCTATATGTATGTCCTTGTCTTCCACCAGAATCACATTTAGCCTCCGTTTGAGAAGTGGGTTGGTTTTTTGACTTTTTAGTTTTTTTGGCTATTTTAGTCTGGGCTAAAAAGCTTGGTTTGGGAAGGACTTTTTGACTTTTTGACTTTTTTGACTTTTTTTGTGAGAGAAGAGTATAATGATTATGGGTTGGATGTGATGTTTTGTTTGTTGTGGCTAAAATAGCCTGTTTTGTTTTTTGTGACTATTTTAGCCCCAACCCAACTTGTCAAACACCACCTTAACCCACTGTTGACTTGAAAGTTCTCTAGCCCCCATTTTCCAATTTGGGGATGTCCTTAGGTTCAGCTTGATTAAATACGTAATCTATTACAAAGAATTTGTGCGTTTATTTAGAGAGCTTACTCTAGAAAGTAATAAAAATTAAAATTTCTTATATAATTTAAATTAACTTGTTAATTAGGTTAATAATTTGTTTCAAAAAAAAAAAAAAACTATTTTTTTCTCACGAATCTTCTTAAGATTTATTTTGTTTTTCTTTTTACTTATTTTCTCTCCACAACTCCCTTTTATACAATAATTATATTTTTTTTCTCATTATTTTCTTATAATTTTTTTCATCTATTCAAATGCATGCAAAAAAATAAATTTTCAATATTTTTCTTTTTTTTACTTCATTTTTTACTATATTTAGTTTTATTATCAAATATATATATATATATATATATTTAAACAAACAGAGCCTTAGAGCATCTCCAACAATATAGTCATTCTCTCTTTTTAGCCATAGAAGCGAGCTTGGAAAGGTGAAAGACTGCTCCAGCAGACTCGCTCAAGCATTGCTGAGATGGTTCTAAGCTACAGTACCTTGCCAAGACGAGGTACTCATGAGCTTTTCAATTATTTATTTGTTTTTGCCTCTTGAGTTTTGTTTTTGGCAGTAAAGTTTTTCTCTCATTTTGGTGCTAAAAGTTCTATCAATACCTCCTCGACAAATCCATAGAAAAGGCATTCCAAAACTCACAAACTCTCTCATCCTCTCTGTCTTTTTCTCTCTGTCTTTTTCTCAAACTTTCTGCTCAAGGGAGGTAATAAGTTTTTTCATTTATGTTTGTTTATGCCATGAATAGTGGATAGGAAATTAGAGAATATAAAAGCAAATTTTCAAATTGTTGCATTCTTGTTTCATTATTTGTTGATTTTGGCAAAAATATTACACATTGCTTTGTCATTTGTGATTATAGGAGGAAATCCATATGAATGTATATTTTCTCCTTCGCTTAGTGGCTTCCCTCCTTTTTAATCTCATCTTAGAAATGGTTGCCGCAAGTTATGGCTCCATGTTCTTAATTAATAGGTCATGATTTTACTGCTTGTAAAAGAGGAAATACTATGTATTTGTATTGCACATCATATGTTTGTTGTAATTTCTGTTAGAATAGAGATTGTAAATTGTACCCAATTATTTTATCCCATCAGATGAGTCTCATATAGATAGAACACTTTAAATTTTTGCTCCATCGAATGAATTCCATTGACCCTTTCAAATTATGCTCCAAAAGTAGCAGCAGCAGCAAGATGCCTAGCAATAGCAGTATCAAGGAAGCTGTTGTAGGGTTTCCACTACTATTCAAATTGTTGCAGCTCGCTATAAGCTCTATTTTTTAAATTTTAATTCTTATATATTATTGAATCATAGGTATGGATTCACAACAAGATGGTTGCTTTACCAATCTTTCACAAAAGAGGCCCAACATTGAGTATTTGGTGACCTCAAATACTCATTAGAAAAAATATCAACGACTGCTTTAACAAAATATTTTAGGCTTTCTATTGCAATGCTTTCTCCAATTCTCACATATTCGTCCATAAAAATCAGCGGCTACTCCATAAGCAAGCATCCTGAGTGCAACAATTATCTTTTGAAGAGAAGACAAACCAAGCTATCCAGCACAATTTCTTTTTTTGGAGAAAGTATGGATCGTGTGCTTCTACTGCAACTTGCATTCGAAGAAAAAGTGAACGCTTCATCCAAAACCCCCTTCGAAATAGCTCAAGAGGATATACAGGCGATTCAGCAGAATAGTCGAGAAAAAGCCTTTCATAACCTTGAATATGGTCACGATGAATGACTTTACGACCTCAAACAGAACCACGATGTGAGCTTGATCCTATCTCACTATCTAGAAGTTCTTCATCCATCGTAACAGCTTTGAGCATCCCAAAATCATCGTCAGATTCAAAGAAGTCAGAGTCATTTACAAGCATATCATAAAGAGAATTGGAAGCCATAGAGAAAGATATGGAAGTTTGGATGAAGTAGAAAATTGGGTTGAGGATAAGATCGTATGAGAGGGAATGTCTTATTTGTAATTGAAAAGTAAAAAAAATATGACCGTAGTAAAAATATGTTGGAAAAATATGACCGTTACAAAAATATGACTGTTAGAAAAATACGACTGTTGTAAAAATATGACCGTTACAAAAATATAACTATTAGAAAAGTATGACCGTTTGAAAAATACGACAATAGAAAAATGTAACGTTCACAAAAATATAATTATATTTAAAAGAATGAAAAATAATAATAATTTGAAAGAAGTTAGTTTTTTTTTTGTTTTTTTTTTTTAAGATGGGAAATAAGGTAGTTAAAGTACAAGAATATTTTAATAGAAGATAGCTAAAGTAAATAACTTTGTTGGAGTGTATATTGAAAAAATGACTAGCTAAAAAAGTGAAATTTTGAATAACTATTTTGACTATTCTTGCTAGAGATGCTCTTATAGTAACTACTGTTGCGCTCAAAATTGCATGGTTTCGACTGCTCCAAGAAAAGCCATCTCTCACCGAAGCTCCTGTTCGAGAAACTCAAACCAAGGAGTTCTATCATCTTTCTTTATGGATATTGAATTTGTCAAATTAAATTAAATGGAAAAAGTTAAGAGACAAAAAAAATAAAAATAAAAAAAAATACACGAACGAACTAACTAATATGGAATTTGCTCTCAAATCTTCCATATACACTATTGGAAAATGGGGGGTTTTAGCGGCGTTTTAAACGCCGCTATAGGTCCCAAAAATGCATTCAAATCCTTTTGTGACGTTTAGCACCAAATGTTGAAGATGCGGCCCTCGCTATAACTTTATGATGCTTTAGAAACGTTGCTATATTACTATAGGCGGCGTTTTCTAAAAACACCGCTAAAAGTTCTACTAATGGCAACATGATGTCACCATACTATTTAGCGATGTTTTGAAAAAGCAATCATATCTCTTTTTTTAAAATTAAAAAAAAAAACAGCCGTTGGTATGATATTTAGCGACGTTTTTAGAAACGCCGTGATAGCCTCTCTTTTTGTTATTTTTAAATTGTTCTAATTTTATGTGATTGAACTAAAAAAACCTATAATAAAACTGAAAAATGGCACTAATATGAAATAATAACTCCTATTCAAATAGAAAATACAACATTAGTTCACTTTTCTATTTAATTTAATATCCAATCACCATTAACCGTAAAATAACATATTTACAAATCATGTTTTAGCAAAGACATTAATAGAGAAAGAAGTGTTGAGCTATAATGATTGATCCAACCATACAAGAGATGGCAAATTACTACCAAGAAAATTATCCCCAACTCAAGATATCACCAAAGTAAGAGACTCTATTGAACTTTACTAGATTGTGTTTCAAAAATCAGTTCTTGCCTATAACATAAATTTCAAGCTTGGATGAGTTAAATTCAAATTGATAAGAGAGTTCACTGTTAGTCTTCACTGGTTTACATACTAGCATCAGAATATAAACTGCAATCAGATTTACCAAAATATACATAAATTGAAGAATTTGTAAACTTAATTTTCTTAATCACTTGATTGCATTTATTTATTTTTAATTGTTTAATTTTTTTGGTAGTGGTGGTTAGAGTTTTGCTCCTAACAAAAATCTATGATTTAAGTTACACATTTACTCCTTCAATTGTATTTAAACAAAAACTAGGGTTAAAATTTTTGTTTTCGTCCAGAATTGAAAAGATGCTTTAAAAACAATTTAGGTTTAACAGAAGGCTCTGTTTAAGGGATTTACTACATTTCTTTATTTATTATTTTTCCAAAAAAGACTAAATGTCCAAGAATTCTGAAAATTAATCATTTGTAATAATTGTGACAAAGCACGAACAGCACCATTAGCAACACTCAAAGTAAAAAAGAGACTTCAAA